AAATTGGGCACCCAAAATTAATAGACACTTCTGACAATTTTGGGCTTTAATCTCTCTGTGCCTCAGCTTGCCATCTGTAAAATGGGAAGAATAATAACCCCTCACCTCACAAAATAAATTTGTTGATGGCTGGGAGCGACTCAGATATTATAGTGATGAGCACCACAGAAACAACCATGAGGAAATGACCAATTCAGTATTTAGTGCAAGGTTTGGCTGGTGTGTGGTAAATAAGGTGGGTAGCCACACATTGAATGATAAGTATAAACTATGGCAATTTACACCAGCTGAGGATTTACCCCTGATCTTCCCTCACTTTGCAATGCTGACAAATTTCAGACACATGCAAACCAACTACAACTGTCTCTTTCCAACAGTGTTCCTGATTGCTTTGGCACGTGCTGCCTTATATCCTATAGTCCTAGGGAAGGAAGTTGTGTGTAAAACTTCTCAGCTCCTCAGTTCACACATAACAGTGAGTTGGCAGAGGTGTCTAATTCTTAACTGAATAATAACCAGGGGAAAAAATATCCAACCGTCTTCAGAAACACAAACTATTTTTTATGCTCATGGAGAGTTGGATTTAGGGGCAGGTGACCCAGGCGACCGCCTGGGTTGTCGGGCTTTGGGAGGCATCAGGCTCTGGGTGCTGTTCTTGTTGTTAGTGACAAAAGGGAAAATAGGATGTGGGAAGCCGCACCTTCAGGCAAAGGGGCTGCAGGGACGTTCTGGTCACCGCTTCCCACTGCTCCCATTGGCTGGGAACAGAGAACCGCAGCCAGTGGGAGCTGCAGGGGGTGGTGCCTGCGGAAAATCAACGTCAGAAAAATGTCTTGCGGCCTGCAATCAGATTACCCCGATGGGCCACATGCGGCCTGCCGGTTGCCCACCACTGTCCTAGAATGTTGTCAGCCATGCCCTCCTGGGTATATAAGGGGCAGGGCGTCACCAGTTAGGCAGTGAGATATAAGAACGAAGTGAGAGCACAGCTGCAGTATTGTGAACCTTATTTTATTGTATAATTGTGAAAGTATACTTGTGTATTAAGACTCGAAGAGTATAAGTAGCAACTAATAAAGGACATTTACATATGGCACGGATAAATACAGATTTACAGATCCTAGAGTGCAAATTTATCATCTTATATGACAGGGATAAACCATGCGTGCAAATCATGCATCGAAGTCATGAAATGGGCTACAAATGCAATAAAAATAAGGTATTCAAAAGTTTAACAAATGGAGGGGGTGGCGCTGAAGGTGCTCCTCTCCTGGGGCACCATTTAGTCTAGGGCCGGCCCTGTGCTCATGGTAATGTTGAGGTGCTTTGGCAGATGTGTAGGAGGCATCCCAGGACTGACATGGGAGGGAGCAGAGCAGACCAAGACTGAGGGACAGCAGCAGAGCTGTGGGGAGCTCATGGAATTGAAATCGCAAGGAAGTGGCATATCAGAATTGTGGTGTATTGTTCAACCTGTATTAGCGCCTCAAAGGGAATGTCAAGAATTTCTGAAAGTTAGAATTTGAGGTATTAGCAACATTTTGTTGGAACCCAGGACTGAAGTAGCAAGTGCTGCTGATGGACATACAAATGGACAGCAAAGGGAGAGAACTCAGGCCCCTACCACTGATGGACAGGAACGAACTGCAGTGGGAGAAATGTAGGTTGACCCAGAACTAGAATAATATGGATGCTCCAGGTTAATCTGATGAATGTGCAACTGAGCAAAAGATGCAGAGGTGAACTTTATACGGGATATCAAGAAACATCTCTTCACGGGGAGGGATTTTTTAGACTGTGGAATGGTCTTCAAAAGGGAAGAGGTGGGAGCTCCATCAGTAGGGACATTTAGACATCTCAGTGTGGTATCTATCACAAGAAAGGGTGTGGGAAAACCTCAGCAACTTCTTTTCATCAGTTTTCATCAGAAGGCACGTGGGCAGATACCTGCTCTATACAGGCAATCAAGATGAGGCATTGTCAGATACGGAGGTATCAAAAAAAAAAAAAGTAAAATTGAAACAAATTGATAAATCACAGTAACTCTGGGCCAGGTTATATTTTCCCAAGAGTTCGCTACAGATTATAGCTAGGAGTGACTGAGCTACACCCCAAAATATGAAATGTGTTATGAAAATAGTAGAAGGTAATTTACTAATCTAGCCTGGCAGGCAATCAGTGCTGTGCATATCTTTGGTTTATTTCCCTGACTCACGTGGAGTAATAGGACTACTCATAGAGTAAGGTATTTATCCACAAGTAGCCCTACTAAAATCAATGGGTCTTCTCAGAGTAAGATGCTATTCCATGAGAACAAAGTTAGCAGAAGCTGGCCCAGAGAAAGGAACAGAAAATTCAGATCACAGAAGACGTTTGCTTCACATGGCAAAGGCAACTTACTTCAGAAATACCAACAAGTATGAAACAGATAATTAATAAACTCGCACCAAACAGATTTGAATCTAGCCTTATAGGAAAGACAAGCGACTCTGAATTATCTCTAAAAATTACAGCCACCATTCCATGTGAATAAAGCATCACACTTTCTTCATTGGGTTCTTATCCCAGTTGGGCAGAGATGCCAACTTCTTAGAGACTTCCCTCTTGATGGGCCAGCCCCAAGCCACAAAGAAAGGGGCCAGATTCTTCTTCACCTGCCGAGAGAACTTCTCTGCCCACAGGTTCATCTTGGAAGGGTTGTCTGTGGGGATGTTAGACATTGTCTGGTATTCAGAGAAGAGTTGGATGAAAGGTTCCCAGCCAAAGGCTTCCTGCAGCTGAAGAGCATGAAAAAAAAAACAGCATTAAAAGTGCACCTGGTCCCATGTTATGAGGATTACTGACAAAACCTACATTTATTGCTAATCACACCTCATGACTATTACATGGTTATCTGATCATGATATCATTTTGGGGTAAGGTACTGAAATTGTATTTCAGTGATCATGTCACAACCCAATGGTGCTAGATGAGAAATCTGCAGCTGTGTTTCTCTCCCACTCAACCACAGACAGCCATGATAAAAGAAAAAGTACACTGAACCACGGCTGCAGAGATGGAAAACACAGGCAAGACAATGGGGGGTTGGGGAGTGGGGGGAAGCAGAGCTGCACGTCCCTGAAACTGGTGTGTTTTGAAAAAGTTAAAAAGACCACAAAAAGTCGGTTTTAACTGGTACAAAAAGCATCAGGAGCAGAGGTCCCTAAATGGAACACCCCCAAAGGAACCCAGGACTTAAAACTCTCCTAAAAGCTAAAGCACCTCAGAGATCACAGCTGACCCCAGATGACCTGGGCCCAGGACAAAAACTCCCGTCCACCACTCCACTCTTCTTCTTATGTTACACCCAGGCTTGGCCAGCCTCGGGTCTTGTGTGTGTGAGTATGAAAGTGGATTAGGGCTTGGGGCACTAACACTTTCTTGCTTCCTCTGAGTGATGTGGGAAACACCCCCCCCCCCTGCACTCTCTGCTATTATTTTATTATTTTATTAATTAAGCTTTAAAATTTAAACACTTGGTGTGTTTCGTCATCTCCTCCCCAAATGATCCTGTGGCCTCAGCCTGATCACCTGACGCCTCAGGCAGATTGGTAACAAAAATCTGTCACAATCAGAGTTAGGTGTGAGGATAGGGAGGGGCAATTTTACAGTGTATTTCTACTCTGAAAAGAGAATGTTTAAAAAAAAGGTACTGGTATGGGACTCCAGGCTTATTTTTTCCCAATAGTTTCACTATCCAATATGCTCAGTTTACAAATAAAAAGATGTTTTGTCTCTCTACCAGCCCCCACCCCGCCCCCCCCCACACACCTGAGCTAGGATCTTTTCATGTATCATCACTAATAAGAGTCTACAGATCCAGTTAGGCCATCATTAACAGCTGTGAAACATCATTGTGTTACCTACTAGAACATATACACCTCTGATGATGCATAATTCACCTTCCTCTCTCTGAGATGTTGCTGATTATGTAGCACTAACAGGAGTAAGAACTTAATTTTTAGGGCCAGATTTTTCAAAGTATTTAGTCCTCTAAAGATGCTAATAGGTGCCTTTTGAAAATCCCACCAGGTGCCTATCTGCATTTTTAGGCACTTAAACACCCTTAAAAATCTATCCCTTAGTCACTAAAGTGAGGGACTCATATTCTGCCTGCACACAGGAAGTGTGTCTTAGAGTTTGAAGGTGTCTTTTTTATATAATTACTTTTCAGAAACAATTTGACCTGCATTATTAAATGTGCTATCTGATGTGAATGTGCCAACACTGCCCTCTACTAGACACACTGGAATAGGTCTGTAATTCCATGTCAGTATGTTGTGCTGAGGCCTGTAGAATAAATAAGCCATTCAGTGAATGGTGAGTCTTATTTAGCCCGAATGGGAGGGGCCTGAATTTTGAGGGAGAAGTTTCTGAGTTCTCTCCCTCTGCCACCTGCTTCTATGTTTGTGGCACATACAAACCAGCCAGCATCCTTTATAGAATCATTTGCATTCAGACACTTTCTTATGAATCTCTCTGTGTTACCTGCAGGTAGGTCTCCAGTGCAGTCCAGACATTCCAGTCCTTTAGCTGGGCTCCTTTGCCAGGGTAATCGCTGATTCTTTTATTGCGATGCTGCAGCTGTAGCTCTTCGTGGGCCCTGTCCCTAGAGATCCCCAGCACCTTCTCATGCACATAGACAGACCACAGGTTGCAGGTGGCCTCAGTAGTGTGAGGGGGGAATTCCCAGCCTTCCCGCTGCTGGTTGTGTCCCAGCTCATGGATGGGACCCCAAAGGCCATTTGTTTGCATGTGTTCCATGTTCACCAACTCCTTCACTGAATCCAAATGACACATGACTGGGTAGCCAGCGTGCATCCAGCCTGCAGTGGGGAGACGGGGCCGACAGTCAAGGTGAGATCTCAGCTCAAGAAAGTTGTTTTGTATTTTTTAGAAGTTGGCAAGTAATTCCCAAAGAACAATAAATCTGACCAATTAAACCCTTTGTTGTGGTCTGGAATTATCCTCTGGATAGTTCCTCAAATTAATTCTTTATCAGTGTTAATGGATGAATACTGAAAACAAGTCAGTGTGTGTATTTGATAATCAACATTTGATCCATGTTGG